AATTGGTGTCCACATGTTACCAGAACTTTCCTTCCATACAGGACCTTTGACACTGGGGGGGACAGTTTTCACTGTCAAACGTGAGGTAGGATTTACCTGTGGCATCACTGGTATCTATAGTGTCTATTTTTCCTTTTTTTAACAGCGTTTGCCCTATTATTTAAAAGTATCTAAGTTATTCATATGCTCTACAGCTATTAAATAAACCCTCTCAATTAACTATGATTTCCTTATAATTTGACAGAATGGTGAAAGAAACCATAAAAATTCATTAATTTGGCTTTAAAATATGTAACAACATCTTTATTGAATATGTCCTGTGCAATATTCATTCTTTAGATATGACTTGTACCGCGTGTTTCATTTTTAAATCTTTGCAATTATAAATCACAAAACTAAAAGTCACATCTTTTCTTATACAATATGCCAAAATAAGTATCATATTCAAAAATATAATGCAAAATATAGTAAGAATTATGATTTAGAAATATATTTTTTGAGTTTTCTATTAGAAGGTAATCATAGGATACATGTTCTTAAAATAATATCACTAATTATATGTGCTACTTAACAAAACTAAAATCATGCCTGTCAGGGTTGAAATATTAACTTAAAAAATCCCTTCCTTTGGTGACTATTAAGGAAGAGGAAGGGGACAAAGAGAAAATCGGAAAGGGGACAAGAGAGAGTAATGGGGTGTGAATATTATCTGAGCACATTATGTACATGTATGAAGATGTTACAATGTGACCCACAGTTTTGTATAATTTAAAAGTCTCTTCCTAGGTACAATGATCCATGATGCATATCTGTGCCCAGTCACCCTTCTGTTATCGTTCACCCTGTTGGAGGATGATGTTCCATCTTTCCTTTCAGGGATTCTTTCTTGTCCTCATTTATGTTAAGGTGTAGACTTCCATGTTATTTGCCTGGACAAATCTCCTTTTACAGTCTTCAAAGGGGCATACAAAATGTTTTTCCCAAGTTTGCATGTGTACATATATATATACACAGATTGTAGTCCAAAGAAAAGTGTTTTCCACACCCCTCAACAATGCAGTGAAAAGTCCTCTCCATCATGCACAAGAAAATGCCTCTTCAGTTCTGTACTCCACAAATGCATTCTCTCATCCTCACACATGGAGTGTCAGGGACATGAACAAGGAAGTGATTTCTCAGGGAGAATTTATCCCTCAACTGTCCTGGGCATCCACTCCAAGAACAAGTTAATGTTGCTGGAGATCACAGTCTGTATTATATTTTGGCTTCTTTCTGGTACATTCTGTGAGCTGTTTAGCATCTGAAAAGTCAAATGTCAGGCATTCCTTACAGAAGGCAGCTTCTTGACTGCCAGTCACTCTGGGTGCACATGAGGTGAATTCTCTTCAGCCAGATGTTGACGAAGCTCGTGTCTTTCCCCTTTATTGTGTATGCCAAAGAAAATATAAGAAGCTAGTTGGCTTCAAGAACCTGTTGGGAAAGATTCAATCAGATCCTTCCTTTAGGTTTTCAAAAGACTTTAAAAGTAAATCCTGTTCCAGGTTGGGTTCAGAAACTCACCACTTGCTACACTTTCTATGAAATAGCCATGGATGTCTCTTTCTCCAACAGTCTGATGGCTAATCTCATAGCCGTGTCTCCATCCTGTATTTAACATGGTGTGTTGAGAGGCTCCACTTCTGACTGGTGGGCTCACCTTGCCTTCCTTTCATATGCTTTGGAGGCATTCTGAGCTCTTCCAACAATGGCTCTCTGGCCACTTGTCCTTGACATTTCTTCATTTGATGACTCATGTAATTATTTCCACTTACTCTTGAAGGTTTACACCATGACAGTAATGATTACTTCCAGGGAGAAGAGATCCCAATAAGTTTCCTCCATCCAGAAATTGCAGTGAGGCTATGAGCTCTATGAAGCAAAGACCTCTATTTTCTTCACCATATGTACCAGTACATATTTGTCTGGGCTACTATGAGGTGCAGTGATACTTGCTTTCCATTTCCCTGGAAAGATAAGACAGAGGAGAAAGCACTATCTTCGCCCAGAACAGCAGTAGAAATCTATCTGCTATCTAGTGTTTACAGACCATCCATCTTTCAAGCATCCCACAGTCACAGTGCCATACCCACAAGGAGTTATCTGAAACAAACATCAATAGGCTGAGGCTGAGAAACTCTATTGAAAACCCTGAATCTGGCCAAAAAAGAGTAATCTTAATAAAACATTCTCACAATGGAAGATTTCCCTTGGAGGTGGGATTAGCAGTAGTTGAGAACACAGACACAAACACAATCAGTAAATACAAGGTCCTCAGAAATAGAGGGTTTGCTCCTCATACAGGTGTTACCTGGCATGTGGACAGTGGGACATGGATGGCATGGCTCTGGGTGAGAAGGGGCACCCTTGACAAAGAACCAGGGTGAGGAGGTCATTCAGGTGTACACAGACAATGGAAGCTAGAAGTCATCTTTGTTACTGCCTTCAGTTCCTACAGCAAGCTCTGTTAATTTTGTCCAGAGCTCCTATTCCTCTGTGTGATATGTCCTAGGACACATGGCTCCTATTCCTCTGTGTGATATGTCCTAGGACACATGGCCTTTATGAAGTTTCATTCAATGACTCATTAGGATTCTAGCTCTTATCACAAGACTCCTAAAGGGCAAAAATGTCTAGACCTTAGTGCCTATGTTTATAGGCATTCAGAGTCCACAGTTGTCCTAAATGTTGAAGCAATGTACTGGTTTAGCATATGTATATGGTTTTAATTATTTTTAAATCCACAACTATCCTAACCATCTCTTGTTTCTTTGGAGCAAAAAAAGGCTAGAGGCATGGCTAAAGTAGTTGCACCTGCCTAGCAAGTGTGAGCCCTAACTTCAAGCCTGAACATACCATGCAAAATAGAAGTACACATATTCTCAATATTCAAAATAAACTATGTAATGTATCAGATAAATTAATATCTACCTTTCAAAGTTATGGTTTTTTATCTGTCAAATTGTAGTTACTAAAACACAAGTAGTGATGAGATAAAGTATGGCAAGTTTCTTCCTTATCTTGGAGGAAAACAGTCCTACTTTTCACCATTCAGTGTGAGGTTGGCAATAGATTTGTCATATTTGCCTGTCATTGTACTGTAGTATAAAACTTTACTCAGTGAGAGTTTTATCATGGAACTGTTCACCTTGTTTCACTGCCTATTCTCTATCCAATGAGATCAGTACATAGATACTATGAATCACTCCATTTTGATGGTGAATCGTGTTTGTGCATCTGCATTTGTGGTGCATCCTTGCATCTTAGGGACAAATCCCAGTTAGTCATAAGAGTAATAATTAATATATTGGTGAATTCTGATTTCTGGTGCATTAGTTTGTTTTGTTCTACTACAGTGGAATACTAAGAACTGAGTAATGTATGAAAAAGAAAAGTTGACTTATCAGAGATGTGGAGGCTGTAAGCAACAGGTCATGAGTAAATGCAAAGTCCTGCTGTGTAATATTGAAGAACGCCCCATGTGGACAGGAGAGAGCTAGGAATGAAGGGACCAATGCCATCTTTTTCAGGCACAAACTCCAGTGGTATCTACACCTCTCCCTCAATAGTTGGAATGAGGACAGGAGACTCCTGAGTTAATAAGCTCTTACAATTCCTTACATTTGTCACCAAATGGAAAGCTAACAAACATGGGAAAATTGGTATTGGGGCTGGAAACATTGCTTCCACTGATCTTGAAGATTGGGTAATGATTTGGGGCAGCAGGCTAGATGAAAATAATTTCTGTGTTGTGAGTGAGGTTAATGGCAATTTACTGCAGCTCTGTAGACCATGTAGCTGACAGGAATGTGAACAGTACAGATGGTGTTGATGACAGTTCATGGAGGTGAGAAGTCCATGAGAAACTGGACAACACATCACAAGGGCTTTATTGTGGAAAAAAATGTGCTTATATTTTGTCTGTGTCCTGAGGTTATATGGAAGGCTGAACTGAAAGGTGGTGAGCTGGTGAGTCTGGCCTGAAGAGACTAATCACTCAGTTACCAGTCAGGGTATTCACTGGATACTTTCACCCACATTTACACTGAGAAGTGAAGTGAAGCAGAGAGCAGAAAGGAAAGATTCAGAAATCCTGCAGTTTGCAAGACAGCACATCAAGTCAGTATTGGGATAAGGAGGGTGCCTTTGTTACAATTACCAGTGCCATTAAAAAGAAGCCATTTACTGTACACATGCACAGAGAAAGGGTTCCTGGAGGGCAGAGCAGGAATTTCCCCATCCCCTGTCAAGGGCATGGTATCAATGAACCACCTTCCTTCCACTAGGCCCCACCTCCTAAAGACCCTATCCACCCAAAACTTCACATGCTGGATACAACATTTTGTCATTTGGTCCTTTAAATAATTGTAAGAACAAAATTAAGTCCAATGTCTTTGGTGAGCCCAGAGGCAAACAATATCTCCACTGTCAGAGTTCCTTGGTTTATACATGGCCCTTGACCTCAAGGTGCTTTAAACTTCAAACACAAAGCAACAGAATACAGGGCATGACCTTAAAGAGTTTATTAACTTAAAAATATTTAACAAGGAATTCAGGAAATTATTCCTAAATAGGAGAGACCATCAATGCCATCTCTTAAAAATGCCTCTTCCATGCCCAGTGACAGCCCTATTGTGAATCATCCATGATAAGTTGCAGAGATGAGGAAAAGGACGGAGAATGTCACAGCCTGGTCTCCTCCCTATGCATGAATGTGGACAGGTAATATGCAACACTCAGATGTCAACTGGGCACTAACAATGTATACTCGTCCATGTCCCACTGCCTGTTTCTATACACTCAGAAAACCACTGGAGTTAAGGACTTCTAATATATTAATACCAATTTGATCTAAGCAGCACATGCAGGAAGCTCTCCCTCAGAGAGATAAAAGGAGGTTCTGCCCTCTGCTCCTCACTTATATATTCAGCTTCCCCATGCAAATCAGACCCTGCGTTCAGGCTAAAATCCCAGCCCTAGATGAGGAACCCCAGTCTCCTTCTCACGGAATTCTTCACAGATCATGGAGGTCCTGGGGCTGCTCATTTGCCTGGTGGCATCTCTCTGCTGTAAGTGTCTCAGGGGTGTCAGGAGAATGACCTGGGCATGGGGTTTCTGGTTTGTTTGACTGAAGGTGTTTGTTGTTACTTGTTCCCAGGTGTACAGTCCCAGGTGCAGCTGCAGGAGTCAGGACCTGGCCTGGTGAAGCCCTCAGAGACCCTGACCCTCACCTGCACCATCACAGGATTCTCTTTATCCAGCTATCATATGCACTGGATCCGGCAACCTCCACAAAAGGGTCTGGAATTGGTTGGTGTAATATGGAATGATGGAAAAACCGGTTATAACTCAGCTCTTAAATCCCGACTCAGCATCACCAGGGACACCTCCAAGAACAAGGTTACCTTAGCACTGAGCAGCCTGATAGCTGAGGACACAGCCATGTATTACTGTGCAAGAGACACAGTGAGGAGACTTTAGTGTGAGCCCCGACATAAACCTCCCTGCAGGGCACTCGTGACCAGCAGGGGGTGCTTAGCACACAGTGAACACAGGGCAACCACAGAAGCAGATGCAATGTGATGCATGTACTTTCATTTCTGTCACTGTGGTTTCTCACCCTCCCATCTCCCCCAACACCACAATGCACAGTGATTCTGGAGAACTCTGCTGCCTCTAAACATCAGATTTTCTTTTCTTTTCTTTTCTTTTCCTTAGGAGAGGTTTGTGGGGCAAATCCTATGTCAGTGAAATCAAAGATAATTATTCAACCTGCTTTCAGTGAAGCTTCCTACATGGTTACATTACATTTCAGGTTTATAAACACATAAGGATTCCCCTCCATGCTAAATGGATCTCTGTCTCCCTCTTTCCACGGAATCCCTCCCAATCCTGCTGCACTCAGTGCCCATCCCTGAGATTCTTGTGTGCATAGTTGTGCACGTTGTCATTGATGGACACATATTACCAGAAATTTCCACATCACAGGACGTTTAATACTCACGAATATTTTAGTGTCACAATGAAGAGACAGATTTCCCTATCGATTTCTAGATTTTTTGAGACCATCCATGCTATGAATGATCTTAGAAACACAAGACATTAAACTAAAGAAGGAATTACCATCCTAACGTCATTACGTTTGAGCTCATAAACTGATACAAAGTAACTGATCAAATCCATTGAAATAGAAATGCATATCTTTAGATTGAACTTTCATAGAAGTAATCTATCCTTTGAAAATGCAGTTTTAACCACTTACTGACACAAACATTCCTCTGCAAAATGAAGGTCTGCAGAGGCATAGATGCCCAATCCTCATGCAGGTGTTATTTGGTATGTGGACAGCAGGGACATGACATGTTCCTTGCACAGAATGTGCAGGATGGAGAGATCAGGCAGGGTCCACACAGACTCTGGAAGGTGAACTCAGGCTCTGTCTCACTGGACACCATAACCTGAAGACAGGCTGTGCTGAGATCTTACCTTAGGTGAATCAGGGCCTTAAAGTCCGTAGGACACAGGACTGTTAAGAGGATGTGGCTTGGAAGACCTCCCAGGTTACTAGTGACAGGAGTCCTAAGGACCACGGATCTGTGGAAGCTTTATTCCTCTTTTCACAGTCGTTATCAGATCCCACCTTGTCATAAATGTTGAAGCTGTAATCTGGTCAAGAACATAGATGAGTTTTTAGCAATTCTACAGTAGTTTTATTTCCTTGTACAAAACTAAAGTAATTTGTATATTTAAAAAGTCAATATATGTTGAAAATTGATAGCTATAACAATGATTTTAAGCATCAATATTAGAAGATATGACCCTTTGTAATACTGTATTTTAAAATAACTTCTATAGCTTCTGAGACGCAATAATACTTATAAGTTTTAAGAGCAGAAATATTCTTTTCTGTTCAGATGATAGTGCTGAAAATTCTGGAAGTAATACCATCTTTCTTTTATACTTACTGTTTTTATATTCATTGTATATTAACAAAATTTACTTATTATATCTGTCTATTCAGTACACAAGTAGATTGTTCATAATCATACCTTGTACAATTTATTTTTTTATTACTTCGGTTGTAACACATTGAATAATTGGGTCTTCCCAACAGCAATTAAAATTTATTTTCCACACTGAAATCTTTTCAGAATTTGTCCTGTAGAAGTGCCCATCTCCTTCCTGGTCATCAAGACTGCTGGACTCATCTCCCACCAAATACTGCCTCCGGCATTCGCAGTTTACATAGAGAAGCATGATTTTTATGATTGTAGTACTTTTCACTCGATAATGTAAATTAAATTTATTGAATGTGAAATTTGAATGTATTTCACATCACATGAATAAATAGTACAGTGCTGTATTTATTTGCTTTATGACTTATATTTATTATTAAATGTAGCTGTGTTTGTTTTACCAACAGTTCTTACAATGGTGAAATCTCTCTTTAGCAGATACAACGGTCAATTGATAAACATTTACATTTACATTTTGTTTCCTAATAGTAAAACATTGTCCTTCTGCATGTGAGGCATGTGTCCTACTCTGAACTAGCCTTATGATTAAATTATGAAAATTATTACATTAATTAATTGACACATAGATTATATTCTATTAAAGATGCATAAAATCTCTAAGTATAAAATCATAACAGTAGCTTACCTCTCCACTGAAACATTTTTCTTTTATTAGAATGCATTCATAATACAGGGGGGATTCATAGTGACTGTTCTGGTTAGACTTGTTTTGTATATTTGTTATGTTTTCCCCATTATCACTACCTCTAAACCCCCCACTAAACTCGAAGCAATTGTGACAGGTTTCTTTGTTATATTTCATAGAAGTATGTGAAATTCATCAACAACAATATACCCTCACCTTCATCTCCTTCATTCCCCTTCCCTCCTCCCACAAGTACTCCCCACACACACTGTACCTGGTTTACAGTCGTGTCTTTCAGTATTAATGTTAAAGTTGATATTCAAAGGGATTTCTCATATATGACCACTGTGGGTGTACTTTGCTTTGGCCCATTCAAACCCTTCCATTACTCTCCAGTGCTCCTTTGCCTCCCATCTGCAGTTTTCAAGAACTTTCAGTGTGTAAGTCTCCTTTTGTCCTGCACCTTCACATCTTATGATTTCCAATGTTACTGATGCTCTGTCATTATTCTCTTTTCCTTTCCCTCTTTCCCTGAGTTCCATAGAGTAGTTCCACTGTAACAAACGTGTTCTACATCTGAGTTTGTATATAATCATGCTTGTTTTTGTGTATATATTTATCTTTGGATCTATCTTCCACATATGAGAGAAAACAGGAACTCTTTGTGTTTCTGAGCCTGGCTAACTTGACTAAACATAATATCCTATGATTGCATCCATTTACCTTCAAACCACATGAAATCATTCCTTATGGTTGATTAAAACTCTATTGTGTATATACACAAAATTTTCATGATTCATTCATCAGTTGTAGGGTACCTTGGTTGTTTTCAAAGCTTAGGTATTGTGAATTTTGTTGCAGTGAGCATTGGTGTACAGGTCACTCTCCTGAGAACCCTGAAACTCTCACAGAAGAAAGCTGCCACCAGGCAGAAGAGCAGCCAAGAACCTCTATGCTTTTTGAAGGATCCTATTGTAAGGAGACTGAGGATTCTTATACTTGGAAGATAGATCCAAAGATAAGAACAAGAAAAGAAGATGTGTATTGATTGAAAGCTGTTAAAAATGGGCACTGGGAGGTGAAAAGATAAGGGAGAGTAATGGGAGCAGCTAATCAGCCTATAGTAAGCACACCCACATGGGAACACATTGAAAAACTCCTTGGACCATCAACTTAAACATCATCAACTAAAGACAGGACTATAAACTAAGCACAGTGTGGGGGTGTACTACTGGTAGGGACCAGTGAATGAAGGAAGTTAGGGTGTGGATATATGGTTGATGAGCTTCATATGAAAAAGAACAATAAGCCTCTTGCAATTGCTTTAAGTGGGGCCGGGATGGGTATAAAGGGGAGAGATGAAGGATGCAATGTAATGAACATACAATATACGTTTAATTGGAATTTTCACTATGAATTCCCTCTGTACAATGAATATATCCTAATTTTAAAAAGAGATGAGGGAAGATACAAGATGGCAACTAGAAGGAGGAAGCAGACAGTATGAGCTCCATAAATCAAAAATCTTGCTGAGATGCTGGAACAACACTTGGCAGAATAAAGCCCACAAAGAAGAAGCAAAACCCAGACATCCCAAACCCCCAACCCACACAAAGCTTCCCCATGCCATGTTAACTGAGAAACCAGGAGGGCTCCCATACCACCCCAGACTGCCTCCAAACCTGCTTGGAAGATGCTGACCAACAGGTAAGCAAATAAGCTGCATGTGGTACTCCCACAGCCACCACTGGGATAAATCAGCATAGCCCCTCTAGAAAATGATCCCCACCACACACCAAAAAAACCCAGAAACAATAAATAAGGAACTGAAAAGGACACACGAAAGGGGGGCAAGGTGCTCTGAGCACACCAGAAAAGGTGGGAGGGACAAGGAGCTGAACTCCATGGGAACTTTTAATAAAAAAGTCTGCAAAGTAGCTGGCAGGCATGCCCCTCTTCCAGAGCAGGGTGGAGGAGCAGTGAGCTGATCTCCACAGGAACATTTAGTAAACAGAGCCTGCAATAGTAGACAGCTGGCAGTAGGGGGCAGAGGAGCCAGTGCCTGAAATAGGGCAGATAGCAGTTCATAAAGCTGTCTCCTGACCCAACCACCTGGCAAGAGTACAACATAACTAATGCTTAAATACCAACACCAGGCCTGGATGCTGAAGGAGTAACACCACAACTACTAAGACTGAAATGTCATTGCACCTGGACTTGGGATTTTTTTCTTTTATTGCTTTTACTTTTTTCCGTTTTCTCTAAATGCTTGTTTAGTTCACTGTTAGTTAGAACACAATCTCTCCCTGTTAATTTCTTTGGTTCTCTTTTTGTTTCTTTTTTCTTTTCTTTTCTTTCTTTTTCTTCTTACTGTTTCTAGATCTCATTACTTTTACTGCTGTAAGCTAGCTAATACTAAATTACACACAGAACAGGGAGAGTAACAGCACCAAGTGGAATGATGGGAAGACATAAATAGGATGACACCATTCTCCCCCCAGAAATAAATTGCTACAAGAGCCAGAGGAGAATGAAGAAACCGGATACCCAGATTCAGATTCCAAAAACAAAGAAAAAGTATACCAAGGAACCCAATGAAGGCCACAAAAACACTCTGAGAGAAGAAATCCTGCAAATTATCAATGACAATTTCATAGAGATGATATTGGAAATGGTCAACCAAAATGTACAGGAGGCACTCAAGAAATCCTAACACAACAAAATAAAGAATATGAGAAAACACAAGAACAAATAAAAGAAATCATAGAAGCCCTAAATAAACACCAAATGAAACAGAGAAACACCATGAATAGAGATAA